ATGGGTTACATTTGCATATAAGCAAAGACGGATAATAAAGGAGCTTTCGTGTACAGTTCGTTAAGTAATATTGTGAATTTTTAGGGCCACTGAAACTACTGTGGAATTAGCCACAGGCCGGTATACACGCATATATTGCACAGCGAATCAAAGAAAATGCTGTCACTACGATCCCTTGCCCAATTTTTTTCTGAAATTTCAATGATCTCATACAGACCTTTGTTCTGCGAAGTTGCTGTCTCACAGACGCAACTGCTGAAGATGCCGAAAAACTTGAAACTCGAAAGGAACTGTGTCAGAAAGCATTTTTGCCGCACTTGCTCAAGATGTATTTTCGCTAGCATGATACTATAGGAAAGAAAAGTACCAGATGTGCTGGATGTAGTGGTCTGAGCTGGTTTCTGAGTGGTGCCCTGGGTCGTATGTCCTGTAGTTGACTGGGCTTGACTGCTACTTCCTGGTTGTACCGTAGTTTCCTTGAAATAGCAGTTCTAGTATTAATTAGTACTAACTAAGCTTTTACAAAGACAACGCTCCCTATGCGTATACAACTGAAACTGGATGCAAAATCCACTTTTCGGGTGAAGGCTAAAAACTACCCACTATTGTTTCTCTCTATCTGGTACACCAGAAGGACCAGATTTTTGTGGCGCTCTCTAAATCTGAGTCAGCTGGCTTTTTCCATCTCTGGGCAAACTGCTTTTTTAGAAAGGTTAAGCCATTGCAAACAAAGCGGCTTGTCGTTACCTGAAATTGGTGTTTAGCGTCTCGTTTTAGCACTCCGGACTAGAATTAAAAATGGCACTAAATGCCACCTTACTAGTCTACTTTCCTTTCTTTTACATGGTTTCTTCAAACTTATTTAGTACGCGCAGAAAGTCTTTGCGTCCTATATTTTTTAAAATGTTTGTTGAAAATTTTTATGTACTTTTTTCTTTGGTGGGCAAAGTTGTTTGTTTGAATAGTAGTAATTTATTTGTTTTTTCAAGCACACAGCAAAGAAGCCTCGCCCCTTGGCCTTTTTCCTCCTTTCTACTTTTTCTCATTTCCTCTTCTTTTTTAATTCCACCTTCGCTATTCTCACCAACTAGACTAAGCATGATTACAAGTTTTCCCACATATATATTTTTTTCAGTATCTTTCAAATAATTTGAAGCGTTTTCTCACCTGACCGGGTGTTTTCGTCGTCGTTTCTGGCAGCACTGCGCCTCCCAAACCCTCATTGATTGCGTTCATTAGCGGATATGTACCTTTTCCACAGTGCTTTCCATTAAAGTCATCAGTGTCCAACGCCCATATAAAGGCGCCTGCGTAGCCTTCCTTTAAAATCCATTCCATCTAAAAACACAGTCATATTGGAACTTATTATAATGATGCCCAAGCCCGAAAACTTACTGCTCCGAGTTCCAGTGCGTTACTCTTACACTGAGTTATGGATGGGGGGTAGAAGGGTCAAAAAATTTGCAACGGGATAACCTTTATTTTAATACTTGCTGGGTTGTCGTATCCATGCCAGTTAGTTCCTTGTGACATATATGCGCCAACCGCTGTTGTCTCAGTTGTTTCCTTGCCACCAGATTTGATCATATCACAGATCTGTAACACCTCTCTTGAACAGCAGCAATAAAAAGAATCTATCAAGACTAATTTTTTTATTCAGAACTGTTACTCATAAGGCATAAAAATCTAATGATTGCTTTTCTTACTTTTTTGTGCGGCAAACACTAGCAAAATGCTGAATTCAATTTACCATGACGTTTCTTTAGTTATTTTCTTTTTAGCACTGGAAAACTGACC